AGGCTCGGTGGTGCCAACAAGCTTGGTGCCGGCATGCTTATAGGCATTGGGCCGTTGTTCCTTGGCTTGTTCGGCCGCAACGATTCTAGGAATATCATCCAAAGTCAATGCGTCCTGATTGCCAAATGTCAGCTCAGTGACCGTCTCTCCGTTGGCATCTTTTTCCTCTACAATCTGAAATCCATGGCCCCGTGGATCCGAGGCCTCGCCACCTGATGATCCCGGCCGCACGCTGCGACCCTCTGGCCCATCAATTATTCGAGAAGCTCGAGCCTTTCTGTAAGTTGTTGACAGGGTGCGCTCGTTCCGGATAGATCGCAAGCGTCGCATTTCGCCCACAGTCTGTTCGAGTGACGAGCCCTCGGGACTGTCTTTGACGGCGTTTGCATATGACTTGGCCCTTGTGCCTGACCTGCGCATTTCACCCCCAGGTGGGATTCGACCACTATCGCTACCGCTTTGTGGGCCTGCATTGGGATCGTCTATCGAACGGTAAGTGTCTCTGTATCTCTGTGAGGTGTCGAAGTGACTGGCCGTCATAACCTACCAGAGAATGTTCCTCCAGCTCGTAGAACGGCGAGGAGTCGCGCAAGAGCAACTCTCAAAAGAAAGATAAACTGCTGAAGTTTGGTCACATGGATGAAACCTCCCTGTGTTTCCTGGTTAAGACCATTCTTGGTAACACAGTCGTTGCAGTATGCCCGCTTTTCCTTCCGATTGTACAGCGAATCCTGGATGGTGCTCGTTAGATCCTTCTGACAAGATACACACGAGAAGTGTGGCGGCTTGATATGCCACCTGCTATCGCCAAGCATGACGCATTCATCGTCAATGGGTTCCTTGCACGACGCACAACAATCAGATAGCTGGTCTGCGAGAACATCGACCCCGACCATTAAATCTGCAGTCGTCTCTTCTTCGTCGAGAGGCCGGAGTGCTTCCAAGTCTCCCAAGTGGTCTAGGAAGTGGTGAAGGCCTTCAGGTGTTTGCTTTTCTCTTTCAAGTTTGAGGGCTCCTTGGAGACCAATACGAATGAGAAGTTTGAGGTAATGAGCGAGTCCAGTGACCAGTGAAAGGAGTTCTTGAGTAACGCCCAGTTTACGAACGCCAGCTTCCTGAGTCTTGGAGAGTAATGCAAAGAAGGCAACGATCTTCTTACACAGAAGTTTTGCTTCACGCCCATAAGCCAGGTCTAGGTCTGGTGATCAGCGATCGTCTTTTTGTTAACAGGGCGAGACGAGTGTATCGCAGCCGCTTACCTTTCATGCCTTGTGTTTTGATGTTTGTCGCAAGCTGGTCAATGGCAGAGAAGAGGACATCTACATGCCCAATGAACTTTTTTGCAACAAAAACACCATCAACATAGGTGCCGTTGCTGACATGGAGAAGCATATCCGAAATGCACGCAGCAGATGACTCCTCAAAACTGGACAATATGCTCCAAATTCTGTAGACCTTTTCCTCCATCACGTCTTCCTCGTCGCGTACTCTGTTGCGTTCCTCGTCAGTGGCGTCTAGGTCCATCTCAGGCGGCTCCAGGACTTGGCCGGTCGGAGCCAGTCGGACATTCCAGAATTTGTGGATCATGTAACACTCAGGGTGCCAGTGCTGATTCTGACCGTTGCGAAAGATCTCGACGAATTGTTTCAGGATTGCCGTGTGACAACCATGACAGCGTTGAGCGAATTGAGTAGAATAGTGAAAATGACAGTAGACTTTACCCTCGTGCTCATAGTATGAATCTTGCGCGCCAAAAACAGTGGGACAGACAGAGCAGGTGAAGTGCTCGATGTGATACTTGCGTTCCAATGCTGTAATATATGAACCACGCAACGCACCACCGCATTCATGACAGAGAAGATCGAGACGTCGAAAATAGTCTGTCTCACAAAGAGGGTATTGCCCGTTTCCATCTTCAGCATCTACAGGAAAGAACTTGGACGCCACTATTTGACCACAGTCCTAAACCCAACGGTGTCAACAGATAGACGACAGCCATTCCTTAGACATGGTGCACTCACCTCGCACTTGAAACATTCTAGATGATATGTTGCAAGCAGAGCTCGTACGAATTGGCCCGTGAGCGGTTCACCGCATTTTTTGCAAATCCGCGACGAGCTGCCAGGAGACTTCGTGGGTGGTCGGCCATTGGGGCGGGATCTTTCTCGTGGTGCAGATCTGTCCCAGTAACCATTACGATCTCTTGGTGTTGACGGATCTCTCGAGCCAGGGTGGCCAGACTCCAAGCGCCGGCTCATTCGACCGTCTGGGTTCTGTGCTCCATCGACCGGGCTATTGGTGGACCCGTTCCATCCTCCTGTCCTTGTGCGAGGCGAGTCGAAAGCAATGTTACTGTCTGCAGGAGAGGTTGGGGTTTGCGACTGAAAACTACCACCGCCATATCCACTGGTGTTGAGTTTGGGGCGGACAGCCCCGTTGCCCGGCACGAGGCTGTCCGGCAAAGGAACGTCGCCGGGAGGCATGTTCGTCGAGAACTATGCCTTTGAGGTGTGGCTTGATTGGGCAAATCAGGATCTGCAGTCGAATGTTGTGGACTATCCCGAGGTAGACGGCACGGCCGCTATGGTTGGAGTAGGAGAAGCTGGGTCACAGGAGAGGGGGAAGGGACAACGAGATAATAGACGTATTATGTGACTGCTGCAGAGGCACTAATCGTCGAGATTGCTTATCAGGTAAATACTGTTGACCTTGACTGTATGCAACGTTAGTCTCTGAGGTAATCGTCCCAAGTTTGGTGCGCGGGGTTCGTTAAGGGAGTTAGCGACCTTTTCCGTAGCAACACTCCTCACGCCATGTAGATGAGACTTGCGGGGAAACTAGAAAACAAGGGAAAACAGGGCGCAAGATTAGAGCTGGTTGAGAAGAGAAAAGCGCTCGGGAAAACAGGAGATTATGCGAAATTATCGAGGGAAAGAGGATTCAAGATGCGCAACCAGCTGTCGTCGAGGGAAGCGGAATGGGGAAAGGGTTGGAGCTCAGAGTGAGACCAACAAGCGGCGGAGTGCGCTGTCTGGAATCACAACCATTCCTAATCCCTTTCAACAAGGCGTATTTGTAGAGGACCACCAGAGCCCAGGAAGAGACGAGAGGGATTTGGATAGCAAAAGAAAGAGAAAGGAAGTCGAGTCCCGGTCTCTGGGACCTAAGTGGAAGGGAATAGGAGCGAGGAGAGGGGATCGCGTGTTTGGAGGAGGGTGGGTGTTGTTACTGCTGGGCACTTTGTCGCTCTCCTCCCCTCTCTTTCTTCTTCCCCCCCTATGCCCTCCTCCCATATTATTGCTGGGCACTCTCTGCCCACTAGAAAAGGTCACGTGAGAATAATCACCGCCTCATTCACCGCCTGAGATGGACGGGTGGGAATCCCCTATCCCGCGTTGTGTATCCATTACTCTACCCGGCAACTGGACCCGAAAAATAACAACAACAGTCTGAAGGGTTGAAAGAGGCTGAGGCTGAGGCAGATGCAGAAGATTACCAGCGAGGATTGGAGAGGATTTAACGTCAACATAATCCATGGATGGATGAATTTAAAGAATCATTTAAGCTTAGTTGTCACCAGACAAACGGCACAACCCCATCAGATGGTTTAGTCTTGTTGGCTAAAAAAAGCCCCTGGTCAGCCAAAAATAGCCAGCGCAACAATTGTTCAGGCAGAAACAGACCCTGTAAATTCTGGCCAAAGTGGAGACTAGATATCTACGGAGTACTCAATATAGATTAAGTGGTCCCCTTGGATCCTATCTTTGGATTTCGCTCGGAGTAAACGATGATTGCCCTGACAATTAACCCCTATGTGATATGCTTTTCACCCCGGCCGATCGAAGACTTGTCTAGGAACCTTGCAAATCATAAGTTACTCACGAGCTTCGCCTTGTGGAACCCCCCGATTTAGAATCTGGTTCAATTCCCGTCTAGCTTCCCGACCGCCCGCAAGTATCTTATCGCTTCATTCCGATTGCGCTATGCGCTCCATGTCTTCGACCCCCTTCGCCGTATCTTACTTCGCGGCCCACAGGCACAACGTCTCTTCTATTAGCAGCTATCTCTCCTCCAGGCCTATAGGGCTCAGATCTCAGAGTCGCGATTCGGCCTTTGCTTGGCAGAAAGCAAGAACGGCTATATCGCAGGTGGTAGGCAGAAAGCACGAGTTGGCAGTTTCTTAGCCTAGAACATCTTGACAGAAGACAAAACATCCCGTAAGCTCATGTACTTCTGATACTATACCTCAGAAAGTGCTTGCGCAAGACACCATGCTGCCACAACGAGGCGAGACCTATTGGTTAAGAAATCTGCCTATACAATAAAGCCGGGGCGGTCGCGGGAAGTCATGACAGTGTTCACATTAGAAAAATATTTAGTTATGCTACAGGTGACATTGTCTCACAGATCCATATAGAACACAGCACCTCACGGCCCATATCACTCCTGATTTCTTCCTTCAATATCATACATATAAGCTATCTATTGCCTCTGCTCTCGTCTAATATGACAAGGGAGGTGAAGACATAAGGTAGCACATAGTCGCTTGTGGGCGGTGAGGTAAATACACTTGGGAACATTCCTAGGGCCAATGTGTTTGCGCTCTACGGCTGGGCTTCATTAGTTGAGATGAACAAATGCGAATCTCGTGTAATGAGCATAATTCTGGTAACAGGTGCAGCTTCTTCATCATAAGGTACTGTAGTCAACTTACTATTCCAATATAAAGGAGTGGTTGGTTCAGACACTGCCTTTGTTCTTCGGGGCAGGCACCCGTCGCCGACGGTGCCTACAACTCGCCCACTCACCCACCACCCATCCGGCAGAACAAGCTGCACTCTCATCTATCTACTAACTATAACAAACTGTTATTCACCAACTATGCAAATGCCTTTTGGGACCTTCCATTCAACCTCTTGCCCACTTCGGAAAGGCATTTTCCTAGATCGGATAGAAATATTCTCTACACTTGATTTCAGTTTCTTTCAGACAGTTTCTAAGATCCCCTCATCCTGATCTCATCGACCTTTCCCCGCGCGCGCGCTCGAACTTGAATCAAAATCTATCTCACGCTCCTTCCGATAGCTTCAGACAAACTTTCTAGTCGACCAACAAGCTCATCGACTACTTTATACGTGCTTTGCCTCCCCGTCAGGATGTCGAATCAGGCGATCCTACGACTTACAAGGGTATACTTGTTCCTTTGTTTGTCATGAGCTCACTTGACTGATGAAATGTCTTTGAGAGATTATAGGAGATCAAACAGGTCCAGCAAGGGGCAGACCTATGTGAGTATTTCATCTCTGCATGAGCGCATATACGCCTCAGTGGACCTGAGCACTGGAAGACGTTCAAACTTGCTGACGAGTAGGGCTTTGTGGTCTTCATATAGCTCTGGCTGTACACTACGATGATTCAGATATCCGAAATGTACATGCTCTCATTCTCGGGCCTCCTGATACGCCATATCAGTTTGGATTCTTCGAGGTCAGGCTTCGTTACCTGCCTTCTTTCTTTTTATTCCAGTGCTAATCGGGTCTCAACTGTCTAGTTCTCAATCAAGTTTGGGAGGGGTCAGCAAGCCTGCCCAACTAAGACTATTTTCACTCCTGACAATTCGCAGACTACCCTACCCACCCGCCAAACGTTCGAGCCTTAACGACAAACTGTGGCAGGTGCCGGTTCAACCCCAATATCTATGCTACGGGCAAGGTTTGCTTGTATGTTTCCCCTAGCGACTGCATGAGGGTTCTGATAACTGATAAGTTGACTCAGATCGATCCTTGGGTAAGAAGCCTGACAATCCATCGGCGTTAGACCTGGCTGATAACGTCCTCGCAGAACATGGCGCGGATCACGCGAAGAGCAATGGTCGTCTGCACAGGGCCTCGAGTCGATCCTGATATCGATACAAAGCTTGATGTCCTCCAATCCCTACGAGAATGAACCTGGGTTTGAGGTTGCAAGGTCGGAACATGATAAACGAAACTCGAAACATTATGTTGCAAAGGTGAATTCTGTCTTCTCCACACTTTGCTGGTAGCTGCCAAGCTCTAATTTACATAAAGATCCGCCACGAGACACTTCGGCTTGCGGTGATCGAGCCACTGGAGGCGTCTCTGAGTATCACCCCTTCAAGCGATGCGAGTACTTCACTCAGTGATAACGAGGAACGGGAACTGTTGGAGGAAGACAAGCCCTCTTCCGTTCCTTTCGTCGATTTTCGCAAGAGACGTTTCTTGTGGTATTTTAGCGCCTACATGCAGTCAATAGATGCTGCCATGCTGGAAAATCCACGTAAACAGAAATTCACAAGGATGCCCTTCGAACAGGCCAACAATTCGATGGACGGCCACTTCGATTATGCTGAGCTGAAGCAGCGGCTGGTGGTAATAAAGACTGCACTTAATGAGGAAAGCTCCAACTGGTCTGCCGAAGGCCTGGTGGCCAAAGAGCAGGAGTGGGGCATTGCAGTAAACCTACAGCGCCAATTCGAACAGATTATGGAGAGCATGAAAAGCCAGAATAACTTCACAATCGACCTGAATTTGGTTGACGACAATCCGTTCGTGTGGAAGCTCATCTACTTTGGCAAGCCCATGACGCATCTGGATGGCGGTATATTTGAGATCGATATACGCCTCAGTCCCAAGTTTCCAGAAGTGCAGCCGCGAGTTTCCATGAGAACTTCCTTCTTCCATGTTCGTGTAAGCCCGGATGGTGTCTTGTGCTATTTCCCTCAGCGGTCGGAGGAAATGCGATACCATATCGACGGTATCGTGGCAGCTCTGGAGGAAGAAAACCCGCCTTATGATCCACGAACAACAGTGAACCCTGAAGCCTCTCGATTATTCTGGGGAACACCCGAGGATCGAAGAAGATACAACCGCGAGTTGAGACGCTCACTTGAGAGAGCATTGGAGTAAGCTTGCGGTAATGCTCGAATGTTCCTAGCTTCGTCGACGCTGCGAGGCCGTGACAGACCCAGATTGCTGGTTAGGTTCTACTCTATTCCGACGAAAAGGGCTGTCACGGCTTCGACATATTTTTCTAGAATGACATTCAGTGACATCAACTCTCCCTTGTACTTTGAGATTTGCGCGCTTCTGAGAATGATTCTACAGGGATATGAATGGACGGCATTGCCATGTTGGAGAGATGGGTGTTTACTGTGAGTGGCGTATGATTTTGAAAAGTGGCGGCTGGGAAAAGAATGCTTTTGCAATGTCCTTTCTTTGAAGAGTTTACGTTCCGTTACTTGCATTAGTAGCCTTATCTATAGTTACATGCCAGAATGAACACTAGAAGAATGCAAAGATAGGTAGTCTCGTTATCATGTTAGCCTCATAGTCATGGACGATTCATGTGTGGCATTTCTAGCGGGAGGCCCGAGCTTTGATCCGGAGATTCTGGAGGCGGACCTCCAATCCGTATTCCGTCTGGTCCACGCCGCCCAACCAACTAACTCGATCGCTCCGTCTCCTTCGCCCTCTTTTCCTCTCCCCCCACACCATTTACCGTACGGCTGTTTTCGGCATTCCTCCATCATGTCTACTAAGCGGTCTACTCTCGAATTGGGCAATGTTCTGGTGGTTGGAGGGTGCGGCTTCCTGGGGTGGCATATTGTGGACCAATTACTCAATTTCCCCTCGGAAACCGATCCCAGTGTCGCACTTCCCAAGCCGCAAGATGATACTAGATTCGACTACCCCAAGCTGGGTGATCGATACCCTCGATGCATAGCAAAAGTCTCCGTTGTTGACCTCCGGACAACGAACAATCGTCTTCCTGGAGCCGAGTACTACGATGGAGACATCACCTCTGTCGAGTCCATGCTGTCCGTTTTCCGCGCCGTCAAGCCGGACGTCGTCATTCACACCGCTACCGCGAACGTGTTGGAAGGGAACAAGCCGTTACTGCGCAAGGTCAATGTCGATGGGACCAAGACATTGCTGGAGGTTGCGGGTGGTGAGCGTGGCGACTGGGGCGGAAAGTGCAAGGCGTTTGTTTACACGAGTTCGAGTTCCGTGGTCCATGATACGCAGAGTGACCTGATCAATGTCACGGAAGAATGGCCACTTATCAGGGGACCATTGCAGCTGGAGTACTATTCAGAAACCAAGGTGCGTTCGAAAGCCCCTGGGCATTGCCCCTCCAAACCGTTTCATAAATAAATTGCTAATCAGATCATGTGTTGCGGGTAGGCCGACGCCGAAGAAATCGCCTTGAAGTACAACCGCGCCTCGCCCTCTGGAATGGTCACCTGTGCTGTTCGCCCCGCTGGCATCTACGGTGAGAAGGACACGACATTCACATTCAAGATCCTGGAACACGCTGCCAAGGCTTCGCCAACCGTCCTCCGAATGCAGTTGGGAGACAACAACAACCTGTTCGACTTCACATACGTGGGCAATGTCGCCTACTCGCACACCCTCGCTGCGTACCGCTTGCTTGCGACTCATGCGCGCTACGAGGCTGGACAGGGTGGACCCCTGGATCATGAGCGGGTGGATGGAGAAGCGTTCAATATCACCAACGACTCGCCGGTCTATTTCTGGGATATGACCCATGCTGCCTGGGCTCTCACTGGCAAGGTGGTAGAGCCCCATCAGGTGTGGGAGCTCCCAGAGAGTGCTCTCGGCCCCATCGGCGGGATTGCAGAGACGGTCCTCGGGCTCTTTGGTAAGACTCCCCGACTGACCAGACGTATGGTGCGCTATTCGTGCATGACACGTTACTATTCGTGTGACAAGGCCAAGTACCGCCTGGGATACAGAGCCATTGTTCCGGTTGACGAGGGTCTTGCTCGCGCAGTCGGATATGTTGTCGAGAGGGAGCGACTTGAGGGGCAGAAGAAGGCGCTGTGATCGGGTCATCGAGTCTATGTAATATACGTTCTGATTTTCTCCTACAAATCGCTTGATCTTAGTTGGACCCTGTCCGTAATTATTAATGCATGAAAACAGGCTGGTCTTTATCTCAATCTCAGCAATAGTCGAAATCTACTGAGAGAACGGATGCTTTTTACTGATAAACCTTTCTGCCGAGCATATGTCTATCTTATCTACAGGCTTTCTTGAATCACCGCACATGCCGCCTCACGACCTTGTCTACTGCTATCCAACATGTCCCAACCGAAGCCGCACACGAAAAGCTATTCGTACAGACAGGAAGGACCCATGGGGATCTCGAGCGCGTGGATAGATGGACTTAACACGCAGTTGGGAAACACCACTTCTCCGCGGGCAACTAGGCCAATTTCCTCAAGAAGACCTTGAGCAACTTGTCCTGCTTCGCCAGGGTCCTGTGGAAGAACTTCCCCGTGTCCCTGGTATATTTCGCAAGCTGCGCGACGCTGGCGAAGGTCTTCGGTTTCGTGTCCAATTGTCGACATTCGATAAGGTCCACCAGATTGACATGCACTGTCGACAATGCCTATGGAGGTTGAACAACCGTTGTCAGCCTCTCTTGTACTCAAAGCGAAAGAGCTTTCTACCTCTCTTGCTCTCCTTATTCTAGTCTTGCAACGGACAGGAAGAACGTCCATACCTTTTTGCACTTTGTGATGGAAGGAAATGGTCCAGGCAGGTCAAACAGCGCACACAACTTGCGCCATTCCTCTAGGGACGCCAGGCGGCTACCGATGATTCGGTCGTATTCGATGTTGACGAAGGCGTTCCATCGCTTGCGCCAGGTCCTGGAGCCCGGCTTCCAGCCCCTCTGTGCAGCCAGGCGCTTGAATTCCTCAGTGATCGGGGCGTGGGGGTTAGGCTTGAAGTCGGGGAACTCGAGCCAGAATCTGGAGGTTGTCATTGTGAGGTTGGTTGTCAGGTTGGTGTTGGTGTTGAGTCTGGGGGTTTGAGATAGGTATTCTAGGATAAGAATAGAGAGCCAAGCGGAGCGCGAGGATGAGTATGGTTGTAGAGCTGATAGTGCTATTGATGATGAGGATAGATGTCAAAAGATGGCGGTATCAATGATGTTCTTGATGATGATCGAAGGGTAAGATCTCTTAAAGTCTCTACTGAAGCTGTCGGGGTCGTTTGACAGCCATCGGTGCAAACAAACCATTCACCACGTTTGTCTCCATCTGTTGTGCAGTGAGCTCGATGTACGCAGACATTCACCAAGCTCGCAGCGACGAATCGCAGACCATTGCAGAAAGCCTGATCGACAGAAAAACTAACCGCACTCATTCTCTATCTTCGATTGTGTCACCGTTTATCCCTAATACCCCGACTTTATACCCCACTTACCTTACTAGTCTTGTATGCTTTTCTCTTCTGGCAGAGAAGAAGCTTTCCTGGAGTGGAACGAGTGCCCCCTCACTGGGTCGCTCTTGCCTGTGCTTATGGTAATTGATCATGTATAAGCCCGAGGTGCTCGCTGCTTCTGTCGTTGCTGCTACCCTTCATCATCCTTGAGATCGCACAACCACAAAACGTCGCATCATGCTGTCACTGTCCCGCCTCGTCCTCTACCTCTTGATCGCAGCCACAGGAGCTCACGGATTTGCAGCTCATTTGCACCGTGCAGAGGAAGGCGATCCCGATGTCGATGCTGTCTTCGACTATATCGTCGCCGGCGGCGGTACTGCAGGAGTAACAGTGGCAGCGCGCTTGGCCGAGCATGGCTTTAGCGTTGCGCTTGTCGAAGCTGGAGACTTCTACGAAACAGCTCATCCTTTAGCGAAGATCCCTGGCATGGCTGTCGTTGGTATTGGAGCGAATGTGAACACGGCGAGCCCTATTGACTGGCGATTTGTTGCGAAAAGTGTTCCCAGTGCCAATTATCGTGATATACATTATGCCAGAGGGAAATGTGTGGGTGGATCGTACGTTTCTGAATGTTGACCCTCTCAGAGCTATGCTGATTTCTTGACTCAGATCCGCACTCAATCTGATGATATACAACCGGTCTGCTGCGTGACCCTACTAGTCCTTTGCCACTATACTAATTGTGGGTGCAACTCAGACCCGACACTGGCACAATGGATCGCTGGGCTGAGCTCGTTCAGGACGACAGTTATACCTTTGATCGTGTCCTTCCGTTCTTCCAGCGTACGACCGCCTTCACGCCTCCCGATAACGCGGAGCGTCCTCTCAACGCGTCGGCGGGCTATAACCCAGCTGCATTCGCTGAGGGCGGGCCGCTACAGGTATCATACCCCGTGGACAGTGTCGCATTCTCCAGCTGGATGGAGCGCGCAATGCATGACATAGGTTTTGGAGAGACCCAGGACTTCAACAGCGGCACGCTACTGGGCGCTCAGTACTGCAGTTTGACCATTCACCCATCAGAGAGGACCAGGTGTAGCTCTGAGACCGCCTTCGGGCAAATTGATGACAGTATTTTCAAGACCAAATTATATGCAAAGACAATGGCTAAGAAGGTCCTCTTTAACTCCAATAAGGAAGCAACAGGAGTGGTGGTTCGCACCGGCAACACGACATCGACTTATACTCTGCGAGCCACACGCGAGATTATAGTTTCTGCAGGTGCTTTCCACAGCCCACAGCTTCTGATGGTCTCGGGCATCGGGCCCACAGATATCTTGGGCGACCATGACATACAGCAAATTGTCGATCTTCCAGGTGTTGGACAGAACATGTGGGATCATGTTATGTTCGGGCCTACTTATCGAGTTGCTATGCAGACTCTAACTAGCGTACCCACTAACCCTGCCTTTTTCGCCCAACAGGTCCTTGTATACATCAACGAGAGACGAGGTGTGTTGACTAATCCAGGCGGCGATTATCTGGCATTTGAAAAGATCCCAGAGCACCTGCGCAGAGGTTTTTCGGACGAGACGAGCCAGCACCTATCGTGGTTTGCTCCCACTTGGCCAGAGGCAGAGGTACGTCTTCCGACTCAGGGGGCCTCCTAATTTGTACTCACTGGCATTCATGCGCAGTACATCTCGGCGGCCCTTTACACAGGTGACTTTGCGAACCCTTTCTTCAGCCAGCCTACCGACGGGGCACAATATGCGACCATTCTAGGCACGCTCATCGCACCCACATCTCGTGGCAACATCACAATATCCTCCAGCGACACAGATGATCTTCCTATAATCAATCCGAATTGGATTGCGACAGAGTCCGATGCACAAGTTTGTGTTGCCATATACCGACGGGTTCGTGAGGCTTTTCAGGCAATTGCTCCGATTGTCGAGGGCGACGAGTATTTCCCCGGGAGTCAGTTTCAAACCGACGAGCAACTCCTTGAAATCATTCGAAACACCGTCATGACCATCTATCATGCTGCCTGTACATGTAAGATGGGAACCAGCAATGATCCAATGGCTGTTGTGGACAGCCGGGCGAGAGTATTTGGTGTGAGTCGGTTGAGGGTTGTGGACGCAAGTGCGTTCCCGCTCTTACCTCCAGGACACCCTCAATCGGTCGTTTGTATGTCGCTTTCCATGAGAGAAGAATGTCCCTGACAAGTATGCAATCATGCTGACTTGATTTGCTCTAGATATGCTGGCGGAGAAGATAGCAGCTGATATCATAGGCGGTTCTAACGAGTGACATTTCCGGGTTGTTGACTAATGAACGTCATATCTTAGTGCGCTAATCAGCTCATTCCTCATTGTTTTCTTGCTTTTTCGGTGATTCGAGATATATAGTATGGTGGTTTAACGGCAGGGAAGGGCAGAGTGGAGATGGGTTTTTACTTCAACAAAAGTACGTCCTGAGTACCGGCTTCTTGCACCATTATTATGCATAATAGCGATCATTCACCAACCAGTCAATTAGCCAACATATATTCAACTAATCAACCAATTATGATATTGCCATGGATGAGTGTGGAGGCTTTGTGTACAGTAACTACTGTCTCTCAGGATCGGGTCGCACCCACGAGCTTTGCACGACGCATCTGACATGTGATAGCCCAGTGTGTGGGCTGAGAAGCTCAAAGTCAATTTTTCCTCAGTCCACGTCAAGTTCTCTGGCTATTGAATCTAGACATTGCAGGAACAGGTAGTCTTGACTGTGTGTAAATTGACCCCAAAGTGAACCGAAGGTTTCTTGTCTTTTCTTTCCCTGGGTGTTCAAAAAGAAAACCTGACCAACCCGGGGAACGAGATCAGAAATTCATCCTATCACCGCGAGAAAGAATGAACCATCTTGTCCTTTTTTCTTTTGCTTCACATACTCCTCGGGGGGCTCAGAGGATCAACAACTTGTGAGATCAGCTTTCAAAAGTATGAGAGGGGGGGCGTTGGTCAAGATGGCGTGCACGGCACGCATCAACACGGGGGTCTATCGAGTGCCTAGGCCTACGTGTTGATAGACGAGGTTCATGTATCTTTGACTCGGCTAGTTGCACTGTACTACAATACTTGCAAGAAGGGGGAGGAGGGGGGCTGTGATGGTATCATTTGTGCGACCGTTTGTAACTTGCATCTGCTTTCCCCCCTCTCTTGCTTGTGGTGGGAAGCAATCTGAATGGTATGATTTTATAGAGATAGGGATTGAGTTAAGGAGACCAGGGGTGTTGGAGATCCATGTCGAGATAGTGATGATTTTTTTTCCTCTGGTATAGTGCAGTTCAACTGATCAACTAGTCTTTGCTTGGGGGCTGAGGGCTGAGCTAGTTAGATAGGTGGAATGATAGAGTAGGCGGAGGTTTTAATTTCATATTATCAACAGGATGATTCTCCTGCGTTGTATGTATGGCATGCGATTGATGGCACCCACCTGTACATACTATCTCTGGTGCTATCAGTATGGTACTCGAGAGCCGGGCTGAAATTGGCACTTGTGTGCAGTACTGTACTAGGTAACTAAGAGGTACCACCCTTCCCTTATTCCGTGCTTATTGTTATTGTTTCTCTGATCCTCCCATGTCGATTTCCACAGGCGAGATTTAATGACATTGATAGGTAGACGTCAGAGCCTTATTTTCCCACCCTCTCTTCTTGTTCTACTGTTTTTATGTATATTATATCCTATTACAGGACGTCGTGGTATAGTCACATACAGGTGATAATGATGAGGTGGGTGGTTGACAGCGCCATCGAAGCGAAAACGGGAAAAGCTTTTGTTAGGTAGAGGTTCTTTGTTTGTGTTGACTTATCCCCTCCTCCTCCTCCTCTCCCTCGTCCTTCTGCTCCTCCCCGTCCTCCGTTCCCCTCCACCCTTTGTGACTGGTGACGTTCCCACGGGGTGAGAAGAGATAGTTAAATGTCCTAGGTACGTGTATGGTACTGCCCCGTTCGGCGGTCGGCAGCCATTTAAGTAGTAAGTAACGATTTCACAAGAAATCCAGATTGTACAGTTAATGTACCAAGTAGCTGCCAAACTGCCGGTCCCGGTCGGTGGGTTGATATTCCTGTTCCTGGAGACTTTATTGAGTTAGGGTAGGTTACTGTACTCGAGTGTTAAGGGTTTAGGACTGAGATAGTTGCTGAGCAACGAAGCAAGCAAGCAAGCAAGCTGGGGGTGAATTGTTAAAGAGAAAGTCAGTCCTGGCACAATTTGGTTATCTTTACTTGGTGATTCGTGCTGGTTAATTAAGTTAAGGTGCATTTTACTCATACTATCAATAATAATAATACATAGTAAGGTGTTTACTCCAAAACTCAAAGGGAAACGTTGCACGAGGAGCATAAAAGTCGAAATAGGTTTGAAGGGGGGGAAGAGGGTGTGCGTGGTGTGCGGGCAGAAAAAAAATAATAAAAAAAAGGTCGAAGTATGGAATTCTGGAAGTATGTATGTAGTACTAAACTTGTACTTAGGGAGGGAGGAAGGAGAGAGAGAGAGAGAGAGGACCAGAAACTCTAAATGCAGTGGTCTACTCTTGTT